CAAGAAACAGGAAGCTTCTTGGCCTGATAACCATCTTGGGCAGGGAATAGAAAAGAATTGAAGCCCATGTCATCAGCTTCAGCTAAAGGCTAGAAAAGCTAAACTAGTAACCTTGCTGTATTGTAAGCTTCTGGTTACAGGCATGTGCACATAGGCTGTGGTTTCAGGTGGAGACACCCTGGAACGTCAGCTGGAACAGACTGTTAATCCCAGGGGTGGGTACAGGGATCTTTGCAAGCCAGAAAGATCACTGAGGGCAGTACTGGGACCTGGTAGTGGTGAGGGTGATGAACCCATCTGTTCAGGGAGAAAGTTCCCCTTCTTGGCTTTTGTTAGCCCTTGTATGTTGGTTCTTTGACAGGGCTAGATGTTCTTTTACACAGCAGCTCAAGACCAAGTCTGAGATATCCGGTTGTAAGAGCAAACATTATTAGTACCAAAGATTGGAATTTAAAGCCAGAAATTGGGAACTGTTTTGCAGACAGCCTCTGGCAGTACATGCACAGGCCTGAGCAAGGGGCTAGTAGGCCAGAGGACCTCCAGGGTCCAAGCTCCAGATTCTCTGGGGACACTTTCTTAATACTTTTGTTTTTTTGCTATAAAAGTGGCACATAGTCATGACAAGTAATTTGGTAAACAGGAAGTTAGAAAGAAGCATGAGTCATTGTCTCACCACCTGAGAAGCTGAAAACAGCTGGTTTAAGGGGAAGTAGTACTACAGGCCTCAGGTGATCCTAGCCCAACTGTTCCAGTCACTGGGGGCCCACAGTTCACACCCAGAATGATAAGGAATCTAGTTGGTTTACAGGGTGAGACTCCAGGCAAGCCAGGATGCCAGTGCTAGAGCAAAGGCCATATTCACAGAAAGGAGCACACCTACAGCCTTTGCAAGCCCTAGACCCCTAGATCAAGGTGGTGTAGGAGTACCAAGTCAACTAGTGTGGAGGGAGGATTGCAATGGACACAATCTCTGGGCAAGGCTGACCCCTTTCCTCCATCCTGGAGGTTGTACTTCTGCCCCTCTCCAGATCAGCTTGGCATTTGATTGGTGCTGCATTGTTCAGTGCCTGCTGCTGTTCAGTGTCAACCTATCTACTGAGTACCTAATGGATGTTAAGTTACATGTTAGGCCCTGCTCCACAACTTGAACGGAAAGGGCACGCCCTTTTGCAGCCCTGGGAATGGAGCCTGGTCTGGTGGGGTGGTTGTGGGTGCTCATTTTTTCTTTCATGTAAATTTAGTTGAAGCATTTCATATATTCCCAGCTTGGCCTCAAAGGGAAAGTAGAGCAGGAATGAGCTGAGAGTTCACTGAGTGCCAGGTACTTTCACAGATATTCGTTTTTTCACTGAATCCTCCAACAAAGATTAAAGTAGGGTCATCATCCCCACTTTGCAGACCCCTACACCCCGAGGTGGAACAACTTGGGAGGCATCTACTAGTTCACATCTACTAGGTTCAGTTAAACATTCTTAATAAAAGAAAATGTCAAAGGGAAAGGAAAATGCAGCCCTAAGAGGATGAGATTTTGGTGCTAACATTCACATCAAAGCAAGGGCTTTAGGTCCACGCAGTTTCAAGATTGACCTTACTCCACTAAACCAGGGGAGTACCAAGACTTGCCTCATGCCCCTAACAGCATCTTCCTCAAGCAAATAGGTTGGAAGGCCATAGTCAAGGATATTTTTGGTTCATTAGCCTACTTTTCCTAGGCAGGGAACGAAAGATGGGACTTAGGCTACAACTACCAGGGTTATATTTTAAAGAGGCACCCTTTTCTGACAGCACCGTAGGAAAAAAACCTCTGGTTCACATAGTCTAGAATAGAATAGAAATGGGAGCTTAATATTTTCAATTTTTAGTATTTGAATTCCAAGGGCATCTGTTCAGATGTTACCCCACCTCCTCAGCAGGTCTTCTTGTCCATAGGCAAGGCTTCAAGCCCACACCAAAAAGAGGGCAGCCAACTCTGCCACCCCTAGCCCTGGGGGTCATGACTTTGAAGGGACAGAGTAAACTTTTGCTTTTCACTTAAAAAATAAACAGGCATTATTGCTTGCTCTCTATTTTAATGAAAAGAAAACCATGTGAGATTGTTTCTCCCCCAAAGAATTTGTGTGTGTGTGTGTGTGTGTGTGTCCATGAGAGCACAGAATTTTTTTAGTGTGCACTCAGTATTTGTTGAAGCAATTTCCATATGACCAAAATTCTGTTTAAGTTCTAAAATTCTTGCCTCTTAAGATTTGTGTTTACTTTTATTCCTACAGAACCAAAAGGTGTTCCTAAACTGATCAAGAATGACTAGATAACAGACCTCAGACCCAGAAGTTGACAATCTTCCAGACATAAGGGTACCCAGCAGAGAATTTAGAGCTGGACAGCTGGGAAACACTAAGTTACCTGACATACGGGGTAATATAAATCTCATTTCAGATGGAATACTATGTATTTTCATGGTCATTTACTCCTTCAGATAGCAAAGTATCAGAGGTGGGGATAGTGTCATTCCTCCCAGTGCCTATGGAATAGGTAAGCCACAGGTCCAAATGGATCCTGGAAAAGTTCAGAGGGAATCTTTCTCCTGCAAAGGTAGAGGATTGATCAGGTGGGACACAAACTAAGGAATGTTTCAAAAGGCAATTTTCTAGGTAACATGAAAGGGTATCACTGTGAACTAAGCACCCCAAACTGTTCCTGTGCTTCTCAGAAGGTATTTAGACGTCTTTAACAAAAAATATCCTCTCCTAGTCATTATTTGAAGGTAATACTTCATCATGTCCCATAAGATCTCACCTGATCCTCACCTCATCTTCAGCAGGACTATATATATATATATAATATATGAAGAGGCCAGTATATTGTATCTTATATCTGGTGTGAGCTGCTATTTGAAAGCCAGGAGTGGACCATTTTACTTACACCATGAGGAGTGCTGCAATGCAAAAAATTAGATTTGTACTCCAGAAAAACAGGATGAAATTATAAAATACTAGTTAATTTTATAGGTAAGATAGCCAAAGAGGTTGTAAAGATAAAAAGCACTTAAACCGAGGAAATAAAGAAAACCCATCAGAAAATGGCATCAGAAAATTTGATTATAGTTAGAGAAGTCTTCAAAAATAAACTGATGGGGGTGGGGGTGTTACCAGTCATTTCACAATTTAAGCTTGCTGTATACAATGGATACATTCCTAACAGGATTTTTTTTTAATTTTTCAAAAAATATATATATATTTCGGAGAGAGGGAGAGAGAGAGAAACATCAATGATGAAAGAGTCATTGATCGGCTGCCTCCTGCACGTCCCCCACTGGGAATGGAGCCCAAAACCCAGGCATGTGCCCTGACCAGGAACTGAACCGTTATCTCCTGGATCCTAGGTCGATGTTCAATCACTGAGCCACGCCGGCCAGGATATATTAATTTACTGGGACATGTATAGAGAAAATAGAATCCATCATGAGAAGCCCATAGAAAATGCATTTTAAAAGTGAATAATCAGCCCTGGCCAGTGTGGTTCAGTTGGTTGAATGTAGTCCTGTGCACTGAGAGGTCACCAGTTTTGATTCCCAGTCATGCGCATGCCCAGGTTGTGGGCTCAATCCCCAGTAGGGAGCATGCAGTAGGCAGCCAATCAATGTTTCTCTCCCTCTCCTCTCTAAAGTCAATAAAAACATTTTAAAAAAAGGTAAATAACCACACTCTGAATTTTCTACCTTATAATTTGGTTTTTTAAGCCTCACAAATTTGCACAGATAATCAGAATGAAAGAGGCTAGGCTACAGTTGAGGAAAAGAAGAGGCTAAGGCTCATTAAGCATGTGCTTGGCCCTCTAATATCTTAATCCTTGCCATAGCTCTTGATGGTAGATATTTCTATGATCTCCATTTTTCAGGTAAGGCTGGGGAGAGAAGTGGCTTGTCCAAGGTTACAGGTCAGATCCTGTTTCTTCCAACTTGGTCCACCCTAATGGTCACTACAGATCAGAGCTAAAACTGCACAGAGATGAGGAGCATCCAAGGAGTGCAGCCTGGCCTTAGCCTTAAGCCATGGCAAGTCATCCCACTTTTCTGCCCTCAGATACCATGTTCTCACAGCCAGCTCTCCTCTTTAGCACTTCTGTTTGTTGAAGTACCTGGGTTTACCAGTAGGCTAAGATGAAGCAGGATCCACTGTCTTATCCACTACTATCCCCAGGACTGAGCACTGTGATGAGTGAATCCTGCTGTGATTGGCTATTACACTGCTGCTCCCTAAATGATGTCCCTTTCTCAGTATTTCTGCTTGGAGGTAAGTACTTAATGGTGGATACTAAATAGGAAAGAAGGCCAGGGAAGGGAGGAAGAACATACATTACCTAAAAGAGGGAAATCGGTACCAGAATTGCAGAGCAGAGCAGCACTGCAATGAAGAATTTCTTGAGGGGGCTATGTGTTTGGCAATTCCTCAAGTCTAGTAGAAGACAAGAGCCATAGGCTCCCTCCAGAAAAAGAAAATGTGGGCTTTAGTCAGTGGCCGGGAGACCTACAGAATCTACAGATCGACTGGCTGCCTGGACCTCTTGTCAGTTTTAAAATAAGGCCAGATGTTCTTTTGTAGGCTGCCTCTTCCCATGAGCTAATGGGTACCTGAGGCCTATGGTTTGATTCTCATCTCTTTAAAAAAGATGAGTTTTGCCCGGCCGGGCGTGGCTCAGCGGTTGAGCATTGACCTAGGATCCAGGAGATCGGGGTTCAATTCCCAGTCGGGGCACATGCCCAGGTTGCGGGCTAGGCAGCCGATCAATGACTCATCATTGATGTTTCTATCTCTCTCTCTCCCCCCCCTTCCTCTCTCTGAAATCAATAAAGATACATTAAAAAATAAATAAATAAAAAAAATTAAAAAGATGAGTTTGTGTGGCAGTGGAGTATATGGACACAGTAAATTTCAGACAGAAATAGGAAATAAGGGACCTGGTTTGCCTCTGCAGGAGGGGAAAAAAAGACCATAAAACCAGAATCACACTTAAAGGTACCTTGTTGAGAAATCCGAAGCATAAAATCCATTACCTGCCATTATTACATCAACGTAAAAAAAATAAGCATTTTTAACAAAAAGTTTGATATTCAAAAACAAAATAAAGGTCATGATTTATAAATACATAAATATCCATGCATACTTTTACAATGATCGCTACTGGAAGAATAAGACCTTTTAAAATGCTACTTTCATTCCAACTGCCTCTTTCCGACATGTTTGGCAACACCCAGAGTCTTAGGAGAGCTTCTGTGGCCAGAGTCCCATTCTTCCCAGCCTCCAATTCAGCTTGTAGGTGATAATGAAAATGGGATGAGTCTTCTGCCTTAGCTTTAATGCTGGGGGGAAAAAAGAGAAGGTTATGTAGCCATGTAGTCCAGCGGCTACAGATTCATAAAGTACAGCAGTGATGCAATATTTATGTACTACCCAGATGGTAAGTAGACTCAGAAATTATTAATATTTTACTACATACAAAAAATTGAGCAGAACTCTGACCATACCATCCATTTGGAAGTCAGAACCTAATTTTTTTGTCATCTGTGATCTATAAATGTTCTCAATTTAATGTGATAACGGGAATACTTAAAATATAACTTTTTTCCTGGCATGCTTTGCAATGAAAGGTTCTAAAAGCAGAATCACACAAACGCTTATTGTTCTAAATTAAAATCAGCTGAATCCAGGTAGTAATTCACAACATTCCACATTCAGTCAGGATATTTAGGAGATGTGAAGGTTATGTACTTCTGGATTTCACACTGTTAGAAACTGTAAATGCATGTCTTCAAATAGTGGCAAAATGAAGCAGATGTATTCTTTCTGGGTACTCTCTAGCACCTTTGGTAAATTTAAACATGGCTTTAGACAACTTTTAAGCAGGGTGTGAAGAAATCATTTTGGCTGTCACCTTGTACTTGAGTGAATTTCCTTAACATTTAGCAGTGTGAATGAATCAATTGAGTCTTTTTAGTAATCAGAGTTTTCAAGGTATGACCTATATCCTAGCTAAGCCTATTCCTTCAGTCTCTTTGAGAAATGTAAAAGCAGCAAAATTCCTCAGCAAAAACAAAATATAAGAAGTCTTTCTCCTTTTAGGAGAATGCAGTATCACCTAAAGAAACCATCTTCAGTCCAAAGGAAAGATTATTCCCTAAACTGTCTCTCAGATTTCTGATAAGATAGATCAAGACTATGGTCTTTGATACAAGGTGTTGGCAGTGATTTACTCATCCTGGGCACCAGGCAACACACGGGTCAGACAGAGCTTTTCTGACTTCTCGTTGATAAAAGGGAAAAGGTAGCGCCACTGACCATCTGTCTTGGTGATGCAAGACAAAACCTGATTTAACTAATCTGACAGGCTGCAATTTTTAAAAAAAGACAGATGCTTGCCACCTTAGAATCATATCTCCTTCCACCAAGTGGCTGCTCCATTACCTTACAGCTTGCCAAGACTGGACACAGTGCACAAAAGAACCTCTTGGCATGCAGACATACTAGTTTTTCCAACTTTCACTTTCCATTCTGCCATTTTCCATCTTGGATAAAAATGTTTTCAGGGAAAATGGGCAAGTAATTGAGAAATTCATTCTTTGAGCCAATATGGAAGCTTCCTAGTCAATCACTCCTCTTACTCGTTAAGACAATGCCTTGGAAATAACCCTGACAGTCATAGTAATGACACCCTTCCTGAGTAAGCTGCTGCTCATTTGTTAATTATTGCTTGTTAATGGGTAATGCTGGTTAACCACAAAGGCTGTTGGTAGGTGCCTAGGGATGGCTGTGAGGTAAATGAGATTGTTCGCTCAATGTATTTGTGTTTGAGTCTCCCTCTTTCAAAAGAAAAATCATACACTGTAACTTTTCGACAAATACCACCAGTAAGAGACCAATACCGTTTCTTTTGTCAGATAAAAAAGAGCTGGACAGACCATAGTGATATACTTGCCTCAAAACTGCAGAATAGCCATAAAGTATTTTTAAAGTCTTAAAGAGCTTATGTCCCTAAGTCATCTTCACTAAGTCCTGAGATATCAACGCCAGGTGATTCATTTCCACTTACTAGCTAGCTTTAAAACCCAACTAAACTGCCCTAAGCCTGTTTTGCCCAGTGGTTAGAGTGTCAACCCTCGAACTGAAGGGTCCCGGGTTTGAGTCCGGCCAAGGCAACGTACCTCCCTTATAGGCTCGATCCCCGGCCCCTGTTGGGGCATGTGCGGGAGGGAACCAGTCGATGTCTCTCTTTCACATTGAGTTTCTCTCTCTCTCCCTTCCACTCTCGTAAAAGCAATGGAAAAAATATCCTTGAGTGAGGATAAAAGAAAGAAAGAAAACCCAACTAAACTAATTTTAGAGGTAAGGATCAATTGCGGGTAGAACTACAGACGTTTTCAGGTGCATGGTTCATCATCACGTTTTTTTGTTTCTGGGCTGGCAACGGTGCTCAAGGTTTGCCAGCCTCTATTACATGCAAACACCTCAGGCAAGAGACAAAAGAACCGCTGCAAAGTCCCCATGGCCCTTTCTAGTGGGTTCTCAAGGTGACCTTCAATGGACAGGGGACAGCCTTAAACACCATACAAGTCTGTCATGCACACAGATCAGATGACTTGTTCTCAGAATGGCTTATTTAGAAGCATACCCACCCTCTAAGTACCTCACTTTTCAGGATCACTGAGTTCCAGTTTCAGTGGCATCAACAGTCTAAAATTAAACTTGGTTACTAAGAAAACATGAGTTGTATTTGAAGGAAGTTGAAACATATGTAATCCAAAAGTGCTACAGAAGTATAGGCTTCCTGCAGGCTTCTTCAAGGGGCTAATGATTAGTCTGGTGGCAAAGCTGGTCTCCAGATGCAAGTTTCATGCCTGAGAACTGTTCTCTGGAGGCTAGCTGTGTGCAATGACAGCATCAAAAATGGACATCCCAGGGCAGGGCTCCCTGCATTTTTGAGGTTCAAGACCCCTTTACAATGTATAACAAGTTTAGAGAGACCATTCCCCCCAACACACACAAACACTTCACACTGGTCTATGGGTAATATTAGAGACGTGCATATCAACTACAAAACCACCTTAGTCTTTCCTGGGGGCTGCAGCCCAAGTATGAAGTGATCTGAAATCTCTAATAGCCTGCATGACTGGAAAATAAAGCTATATGCAAGAGAGGGAAGTATACTACAACAGAAAATTGATGTCAAAGACCTTAGGGAGAGCAGGATATCTTTTAGGAGCAAAAAGCAAGGAGAGAATCTGCCACAAGCAGTTAAGAAGTAAAGGTTCACCCTATTCCCTGCCTGCCCCTGCCTCAGAGGTTGCATTCAGCCAGCAACTATCCAGCTGCCCCTGCCTGGGCCCTAGGAAACCTCACCACTCTGGGACACTGAAGGATTTACTGCCCCAAAATTTTAAAGTACTACATGAAAGGATCCAAACAGTCACAAATTCCCAATTCTCAGTTCCCTGGCTAAAAACAGTAGACCCGTTAACAGCTGATTTAAAAACAAAATAGCCCCGCCAGGCCAGTGTACTCAGTGGTGGAGCATCAACCTATGATCTAGGGGAGAAGTTCAATTCCCGGTCAGGACACATTCCTGGGTTTCGGGCTTGATCCCCAGCAGGGGGCGTGCAGGAGGCAGCTGATTGATGATTCTTCAATAAAAATATATTTAAAAAATAGCCCCTTGAACACTAACCTGAAGCTTTTGATTCCTTTTATAGGAAAACTGAAATCAAGTGGAATGTGCTGTTTGGGGCTGAAGTACTTTCTGGGCAGCTGCGGGTTTGATTTAGTTCCTGGTTACCCACACAGAAGGGAACCTCTATGTCCTGCCTTCCAAAACAAGACCCAATTGGGGTGAGGCCAGGGCTTACCTATGTTTCTGAGGGTAGAACTAACAAAGAGGCCAGCAGTCTTTTACTCTATTGCTTTGGTGAATTTTGTAAGCATTTTCTGAGCACCTTCTCGGGGGTATGTCTATATTAGGTTTTGGAGTCAGAAAGACTAAAACTTTAGGTACCACTTCAAGAAGCTTACAATCTGCTCTAAAAGAGGCTTGGGTAAAGTGCCAAAGAAACAAACTTTGGGAGACCCAAGAAAATGAGAGAAAGTGTGTCTTGGATTCTGAGAAGCAGCTGGGTTGCCCAGCCCCATCACCTGAGCTGCTTTCTGCCCTACTCTCCATGGCACAGCCCCAGGATCCAGAAACAAGGCTCTGCAGGCAACAGCTCACTGTGTAAAAATTCCATGGCCTCATATCAGACTAAGCCCTGCAGAAGAGGGAACACTATGATGTATGGACATTACTCCATCTGCATTCCTATCAGTAAGTCAGAGAGGCCAAACAAGACAAGTCAGGCCTTCACCTGTTGGGTTAAGATGAGTTAATGTTACCAACAAGGTTTTTTAATAAGTAAGAAACTAGTACTCTAGCCAACATTTTCTTTAAAAATCATGCAGAAAGCTCAAAACAATGTTCCTAAAGGAACTGAAAAGGCTGATCTTGTGTTACTTCACCAACAATGCATAATTTATCATACTTATGATAAATTATCTAGGTATGAAAAGGTTTATACCAATTACAGAGAAATTAAAATGAAAGGGCTTAGTAAACAAGCATTCAGAAAACAATATATACTCTAATACATCACTATAAACACGGGCTGGTAACTACACCATTTCAAATGCACTTGGAAATCCTGTTTACCTTTTTCATTAATTCACTTCTGGTAGTAAACTGTGGCAGGTCTTCCACTTCAATCCCATCAGCCATTTCCATCACCTTATCTAAAAGGTCTTTGTTGTAACTGCACAATAAAAAGTAGTAAGGTTAAAAACCTTGGAAGAATTGTCAGTATGGGGCTAACAAACTGCAGGTAAAGGGACTGTAAACTCAATTCTCAGAGGACTGATTTGATACTACAGGGGAAATCAATACATGTTCAGCAGCAGGTTAGCAGTTCCTCCTGCTTGGAGTAATAGAAGTGGCTCTAGGAATGCCAACAGAGCAGGTATTTCAAACTTGCAAAATAAGAGATTTAGAAAAATAGAGGCACTGTACATCTGGAAGTACATATTCGTGGTATGAGGGCCAAAAACTTTTTAGTTTTGAACACATGGAATGTTGGTCTAATGAAAATAACATTATTTGTTCATTTATCCGATATTCTGACATTTGCCAAATCTTGGATCCTGTTAACCAGGACTTCCCAGGGGCACCTAGAAGGCAGAGAAAAGGGATGGATGTGACTGGCACTGCTTCCCCAACTCATTCGAACAACCCCCAACATCTGAAAACAAAATCAAGTGGCCTAGGGCTAAAGGGGCTATGTGACCAGAGTCAGAAACCAGGACTAAGCTGAGTCATTTTATCCTAACGTAATTTCAGGAAACGCTAAATTATAAAGGAGGTGGGAGCCTCAGATCTGTCACCTTCACCCTAGCCAGTCTGGCTCAGTGGTTAGAGTGCAGGCCTGCAGACTGAAGGATCCCTGGTTAGATTCTGGTCAAGGGCACCTACCACAGTTGTGAGCTCGATCCTCCGCCCAGGTCAGGGCATGTGCGGGAGGCAACCAATCGATGTCTCTCTCTCATGGATGTTTTTCTCTCTCCCCCCGCCCTTCTACTCTCTCTGAAAAAGCAATGGAAAAAATATCCTCAGGTGAGATAAAGGAAAAAAGAAGATAGGTCACCTTCTTCATGGTTGGGGAGAGGGTAATGCGAGAAATCTATTATTTTCATAAAAGAAAGGCAGTGAGGCAAAAGCTGGCTCTGGGGTCCAGCAGACTGGGGAGTGGAGAGACTATGCCAAGGGCCACAGATTACAACCTGCCAGAAGCTGCAAGGCCCTAGATTTGTGACACACACACCCTCAGCCTCTTCTTATGTAAATTGGGGGTCTCAGTTTCTGTCCCTGCACTTGCCATGTGGGCGAAAGGAGCTAATGGACTTGAGATGCACTCTGCTAAAGCGAGAGTTTGAGCTAATACTAGGAATACAAATAGTGGCAATTTTAGAGTCTAGCATGTATTGAGCCCTTGCTAGTTGGCAGCCTGTGCTAAGTGCTTTTCACTCTTTAATATTGTAACTCATTTTCCAAACGAGGACACTGAGGCTCAGGTCATAAATAGCTTCCCAAGGCGCTGGCTAAGGCTGGGAATCAGACGGAGGCCTGGCCAGCGCGGCTGGAGGCTNGGGGCGGGGTCAGCCCTGGGCGAGGGCTGCGGGTCGGAAGGCGGGGGACGGGGTCAGCCAGCCAGCAGGGGTCCGCACCTGCAACCCAGGAAGAGGTGGTTGGCCCAGACCATGGAGAGGGACAGCAGCTGGTCCAGGCGGCCGCCGCCGTCAGGCGGGTCGCGGTAGTCGGGCAGGTGGCGCACGATGAATTCCATACGGGCCTTCCATTGCTTCTCGCTCTCCGAGTAGGAGCGGAACTGCTCGGCGAAGTCAGTTGCCTGCCGTACGCCCGAAACCAGCTCCTCCACC